AGTCCTTCTGCAGATAAGGAATCCTTGGAGACTGAAACCTGAAGGTGCCCATCTCCAGGTGGGCAAAACCCAGCCCTGCTCTGAGCTGCTGCTCCTGGCTTATGTGGGAGCGGGGCTGCTGAGGAGGAGGATGCTCATTTGAGCTGGAAAACATCGCTAGCCTGGCTGAATTTTCAAGAATGACAAAGAAATGATGAAGTTAAAAGACAGGTCACGTCAGGGCTGCCTTGGCAGTGTGGGCATCTGACAGTGCCCTCCCAGCCTATGCCAGGGAGTTTTTGTTTTGGAGAAGTGATTAAATAAGGGGAACTGGCTGCTCTGAATAGTCCTGATCCCTKCTGCTGGTTTTCTGCAGTCAAAGGAAAGGTCCCAGGACTTGTGATCCTTCCAGGCTTTCTCCTGGGAGGGCAGAAATGGGTTGCAGATTCTCTTCTGCTTTCCAGGTGGTTGTGTGGCTGTAGGAAYGTGCTCTGCTCCCATTTTGCTGTTTCTCCCTGGGCAACTGTGCTGTGTCCTCACATCCACGRATGTGAAACTCGGAAGTCTGGAGGGTTTTAGATGGTTCAGTGCTTCCTGCTTATCTTGGGTGATGTGTGAAGCCTGCTTCTGTCCCCCCTCTATTTATCCAGGACAGAAGTGGCTGGGAGGGCACTTTTCCCATGGCTGCGGATGTGCTGATGCTCACGTTGTCCCTAATAAAAAAGAATAAAAAATAATAAAAAAAGAATTGCTGAGATAAACTTGGGGGTGGTAGGAGAGAGCCTGGAGCTGCTTCCCAGCACGTGTCCTTTCCCCTGTGGAGCCTGTGCCTTSATGAGCCGGGTCAGCTGTGAGTTGGTGGATGCTTTCCAAAATCTCTTTTCCTTCCACAACCTGCTCCTGCGCTCCCCCAAGGCTGCATGGGATGCAATCAGGGATGTGTAGCACAACAAAGGAGCTTAAGCGTCCTCTCTGGAGCTGTTCTGGGAATGGATGAAATGTTGAAATGAAAAGTGGGATTGTCCTGTGCAAGAGGGACATGCTGGGCTCATCTGTGCCCAGGGTAAATCCAGCTGTGTTTACAAATCCCTCTCCTTGGACTCAGGGAGTAGAATTTTCTTACTCTGTCAGCTCCAAAAACTGCTCTCCTGCTGACCACTGGAAAGTCCTTAGGATCAGCCATGGAGGATGGCACACCCTGCAGTCACGAGCTTCCAGTTTGGTGAGACGGTACCAGTCCAGACCTGGAATTTGTTTGCCCTCCCTATGTTGTAATAATTAAACAAAYGAGGCTACGTGTGCTGGGGACACTTGTGCTGCTGGGTTTGGCACCGCCCCACCAGTGTTCTCACTGGATTTATCCTTATAACCTAGGGAGAAGCTTGTTCAGGTGGTCTTCAGCTTCCTGGGGGTTTGGGATGCTCCAGGCAGTGTGGCCAAATAAGGTGGATAAGGACAATGTTCCCTCAGCTCCAGCTCCAGCCCTGGGAAGGGTGGTTTGTGCTGAAAATGAGTGCCTGTTGTTGGGAAGTGTCATAGCTGCTTGGGAATGGGCATAGTGACCATGGATTTCCCAAAGGGAGAAAGTGTCCTCCTGCCTTGGCTGGTGTGAGCGGAGCAGGCAGTGCCCAGTGAKGCTCTGGGAGAATTGGGCAGGAGATGGTGGATCCTGCAGTTTTCCCCCAAAATTCCTGCTTTTCCAAGTGACGAGCTGCTCATTTGGCCCTTTAAGTCTCCAGCCCCATCTCCTCCTTTTCCAGAGCAGTGATGCTGGAAACCTCTGGCTTCATTCCTGTGCAGGGAAGTGGGTGCTGCCTTGTTTTCCCTCCTCCACYATGAATTTCTGGGATGAAAAAATATTTTCCTTGCTCTTAAAAACCGTTGTGCTCCACCCGGTTGGAAAAGCCGCTTCCAGCAGGAGGAAGTTTGGGATGCAATCCGTGATTGTGCTTTTTGGAGCTGGACGGCCCCAATCCCGCTCATCCAAGCCCGCTGACCCTCAGCCCCCGGCCGGGAATGCCGTTCATTCCAATTCCCATGACGAGCAGAGGGATTAGGAGATTTTCTCTGTCTCCTTAATGCAGCTCGAGCRCCCGGCACGTGGAGGGCACTGGTCACGCACCTCTGCTCCAGTGCCTTGTCTGTCCTCCCTGCGCTCCATCCCCGCGCTGCCGGACACAGYGGTAAATTCCCGGGCTCAGAGGGGTTGGATGTGCGGATGGTTTGTTGGATTTGGGAACTGTTCRTGGTGTTTGCTGATAATTTTAGCCAGGGCAGATTTTGCTAAGCTGGGGAGTTCAGCTGAGCCCTGGTAAAGCCACGGCGGGGATTACTGGGGGTAATTCAGCACTTGGTTTGTCTAGCGCTTGTTTTCTCTTTCCCCTTGGATTCAATCCCCTCATTCCCATGTTTCTAGAACTGCTGTTTCTCTTGTGGGGTGGGGTTGTGCCTCAGTGCTGGCTCAGCAGCTGCAGCTGGAGCCCTGAAGGGGAGATGAGTTGTGCTGTGGGATGTTATGGGACTGGGGAGTGCAGCATTCCCCCGTCCCATCCTCTTCTCTCCAYTGCATCCCAGATGAGCTTTGCTCCGTCAGACCATCCAGGCAGCACGTTTCACTGCAGGGAGTTGCCTGTCCYGAGGCTCACACATCCTGGATGCTGCAAGCCAGGACAGACCTGCACCCTCGGCTGGAGYACTGTGTCTTTTGTTTTTTCCCCTCCTGGGTCACCTCTTCCCTGGAAACCTTTTTCTGAGATAGAGAAAATTCCTCAGCTAACACTTTAAGCTGTTTTAATGCCAGCAGCTGTTTTATGGAGCATGTTTTTTATACCCTCTGCTTTGATGAGCTGCCAGAGGAAGAGCTTGGTGTGAAGGGATGGAAATCCTGTATCCTGAAATTGCTGATACTTTTTCCCCCTTGGGAAAAAGGATTGTATTGGCCATGAGCAATACAGCAGTGGCACAAGCCGGTCCCARGCTGTCTGGGGAAGACTGATCCAAGCAATAGACCTGGAACAAATTCCAGCAACATCATTCCTTGGTGGGGAGCCTGCCAGCTCCAGCCACACACCCTGAGGATGATGTTGGTCCTGCCTGGGAGTGCTTCTACCCCTCGTATCCCTGGAGCCAGCTCTGCTGTGGGGATGGGGGTTGTGGTGCCCTCCAGCTCCACCCTCTGCCCTACCACAGGGATGSGGGTTGTGGTGCCCTCCGGATCCTCCTGCTGCTCTCCCATGGGGATTGAGGTTGCAGTGCCCTCCAGCTCCTCCCTCTGCCCTCCCACAGAGATGGGGGTTGTGATCTCTTCTGCATCCTCCCTCTGCTGTCCTATGGGGATAGGGTTGTGATGCCCTCCGGATCCTGCCCTCCTCATCTTCCCTCTGCTCTCCCATGGGGATGGAGGTTGTGGTGCCCTCTGGATCCTCCCTCTGCACCGARTGACCTCAAACAATTGCAAAACCAAACTGGCAATCTCCATTTATCATTCCTCTAATACAAACTGAAATAGTTTGCATGAAAATCCAGCTGGAGTCCCAGGTTGTAATGTGTCCAGGATGGAGGAGCTGGCTGGAAACCTTTCAGCAGCAGCACCCACAGGAATGCCTGGGATGCTTGGTTGGGTGTGGTGATGGATCTGATCTGTGCCAGTCAGTTCCTGGAAGGGATGMAGGGGTGCCACATCATCCCACCTGCCCTCCCTTTGAGCGAGCCATGGATTTTATGCCCCCATGTCCCTTCCTGAGTAGAATACCATACTGCTTTTGGCCCATCTGCTAGGATTCTGCAGAATTGTGATTAATTTTTCCTGCCCAAAAAGCAGTACTGGTGCTTCRGCCTCCCCAGCTCCAGCCTGTGCAGATTCCTCCTTTCTGGAATGGATCATTTCTACTAAATAGTTTCATTCTTCTCCCCTCAAAGGCTGTTTCCACATCAAAGCTTTCAGGGAGCATTTGGGATGACTGTGGCACGGAAAACCCCTCCTCRAGGCCACTCTGGGCTGCCTGTTTCCATCATCTTGATTTCTCCAGGACTCCTCTCGAGGTCTCCTGGGTCTTGGGGATGCTTTGTTAATCCCACTCCTTGCCATGACGTCTCATCCCTGTTAAATGGCAAAATTAGATCCTGCAGCAATGGGATCTGAGGAAAGGGGCCATGCTGGGGTTCTTTGTCAGGGTCTCCTACATGGCAGCAGGGAGGGAGGGGGCTGCAGGCTGCATTTGCTGCTGCTTTCCCCAATTCCCTTTCATCCCTATCKTTCTCTGGCAGGAGCAGCAATAAGGCCCTTTGCTGGCTGCACACCTGGGGTGAGCACAGCAGCTGAGCCATTTTGGGTTATTTTTCTTCTTTTTCTGGCCCAACACAGTTAAATTTGATRCTCTGGTAGAAGGTGCTGGAGCCTTGAGTTGCCTCTGGCTGAAAGAGGAGGCTGTTTTGGGGGTTCTCTTCCAATGGAAACATCTTGTCCTGCAGAGGAGGCTGAAAGCCAATGTAATGTCAACTTCTTTTTGTTGAAATGTTCTCTCTTGCTGAAGTTTTTTTCCTGTGCTCTTAGTGTCAGTTTTGGAAGGATGTGCTGTGTTTTTAACCTGCGGGATGTTCTGCTCCTGGGGAAGAGCCTAGAAGCACCAGGGATCTGTTGGGACCACCCCAACTTTCTTGCTGGTGCATTTTTGGGCAGAAATCTGCCCGGATCAGTTGAGGCAGGGGTGCAGGGGCTCTGCCTGCACATAGGATGTGGGTTGGACAGTGTGATTCTTGAAGGAGCCTTTGGGAGCTGGGAATGGGTTAAAGRGGATGTTTTAGGGTGCTTTTTTTATCTTCAGTTGTTGTGTCAAATCTGCTTTAACCTTCTGGTGGCAGTTGTTCAGACAGAGGAAGCGGGTTAATTTTTGGCATCTGTAGCCTTATATTTGGTGATGTTAATTTTTATGGACTGAAAGGATCTTGGATCCCGCAGCTTGGGAAGGTGCCACGCCCTAAGGATCACCTCCTGGTTTACCACTTCTTTCCTTTGCTCCCAGCAAATCCAGTTTGCAGATGACATGCAGGAGTTCACCAAATTCCCGACCAAGACGGGCCGTCGGTCCCTGTCCCGCTCCATCTCCCAGTCTTCCACCGACAGCTACAGCTCTGGTACGTGCCATGTCCTTCTCCTTTGTGCCATGTCCTTGTCCTTTTGTGTTCCTGTCTCAAATCCAGCATCAGTGCTGCACACACCCTGTGGCAGAATTTGTGCTGCTGATTGTACTTGGATGCTGARGGGATGATTGCAGGCATTCCCGAAACTAAGGGATTGATTGCCAGTTGATAATCCTGKTACCTCTGGGTTGTTTCAGAGCAAAAGAGTGCAAATTTCCTTCAGGGCGTTGGCTTTCCTTAGGAGATCAGTAGTTTGAGCCATGAGTGAAAGCTGGGAARGAAAACAGAGCAGAAAGCTGAAGGGTTTGAAGGAGGTTCCTGGGTTCATGAGGCCTGGTATAACACTMATTCCTCTTTCGGTTTAGCTGCCTCGTACACGGACAGCTCTGATGAYGAGGTGTCCCCTCGAGAGAAACAACAAACCAACTCCAAAGGCAGCAGCAATTTCTGTGTGAAGAACATCAAACAGGCAGAGTTCGGCCGCCGGGAGATCGAGATCGCTGAGCAAGGTACCAAGTGGACTGTGGGGCTTCTGGGGCTTGGGACAGCTTCTGGAGACCAGGAGCTGAGGAGTGGCAATTCCCACTCCTGCTACAGCCTTGGGTATCCTGTTTYCCCCTGAAATCAGTTAGGGAAGAGTGAGGTGTGCCAGCAAACGTTGGTRCTGTGTCCCATCTGTTTTCTAGCAGAGCAGAGCTCTTGCAGGATTTAATGTTTTGTTGGCTTTGGATGGACAAGGATTTTGCAACACATTCAGAGCCACGAAAGCTGAAAATCCCACCCCCKTCCCCTGGGGCTTGTGGGAAGCTGAGTTGCCATTTCCAGTGGAGTGATTGGGTAACTCTCCTTTCCTTTTAGAAGGGGAAGATAAACCAGGCACATTTAGAGCAGCTCTTTGGAGACGTGGCTCTGTTTTCAAGTTTAGGTGMTTCTGCTACTGCCACAGGGCTGGTAACTGTCCTCAGATGCCTTCCCTGGGTAGTGCCAGTCCCAGACCCCTCCTTACTTCTCTCCTTGTCCCTTGGTCGAGTGACAAATGACACTGGTGTTCTGGTCCCGTTTTGCACATATCTGCAAGGCCAGGGATGAGGAGTTTTTTTCCCTGCCTGTGTAACAGCAACAGTACAAAGTTTGGGGCTGGAGGTATCCTGGGAGACCCTGAAAGGAGAGGCTCTGTGGCAGAGGGGACCCTCTGGACCGAGCCACCATTAAAACCTCTCTTCCTTTTGCAGACATGTCTGCTCTGATTTCACTCAGGAAACGAGCCCAGGGGGAGAAGCCTTTGGCTGGAGCTAAAATTGTGGGCTGTACCCACATCACAGCACAGACTGCAGTGAGTGGCTTTTCTTTGGGGGTCTGGGTTGGGATGTCAGCTTTTCCTTGGGGAAGAAAGTTCTTTATCCCTTTGGAATGGGAGAAGGCACCTTCAGTGATCTGGAAGYATTTTGGAAAGGTCATGCTGGTGGCATTTCCCTAGGACAGCGTTTGGTTCCTATGGCTTCATGGCGGGGGCATCCCTGCTATCCCTGCTTCCTGGAGCATCCCTGCTCCCTGGGGCATCCCTGATTGCTGCTCCCTGGGGCATCCCTGCTCCTTGGGGCATCCCTGATCCCTTCTCCCAGGGCTTTCCCTGATCCTTTGCTCCCCGGGCCATCCCTGATCCCTGCTCCCCGGGCTATCCCTGATCCCTGCTCCTAGGGCCATCCCTGATCTCTGCTCCCAGGATTATCCCTGATCCTTGCTCCCTGGACCATCCCTGATCCCTGCTCCCTGGGGCATCCTCCTGTCCTGCAGGTGCTGATCGAGACGCTGTGTGCCCTGGGAGCTCAGTGCCGTTGGTCTGCCTGCAACATCTACTCCACCCAGAATGAAGTGGCTGCGGCCTTGGCAGAGGCTGGTGAGTGTGGCCGGGCCAGAGCCCTCACAGCCCCTCCTGTCTCCGTGGCCTGATCCTTCTAGGGAACGTTATATTCCTCTTCATTTGATTTGTATATATTTCATTTTATATCTATTTATGTTTYATTCTGTATTTATACTTTATATCTAGAAATATTTTAGAATAGGTATGTGTAAAAGTATATATATATGTATATAAAATATATAATATAAATGCATGAATATATTTATAAAATGCATATTGATGTATTTTACATAAAATATAAATTAGCTATAAAGTATTAATAAATAAATATAAAATTTTAAAAGCAAAATGTATTCTAATTTTATAATTAGTAATATTTAAATTCTATTTAATTTATTTTTATACTATTTATTAACTAGTAACTAGTATTATTTATTATTTATATATATTACTATACAATTTATTAATTCTAACTAGTTTTATTTTATTATTATTATTATTCACTTTGTTTGTTCTTTTTTAATATATATATGTATATAAGATTTTTYTATTTCTGTCTTAGGGAATTTATATTTTTGGGGGATATCTCCTTGGGAGGGATGGGCAGGTCTGATCCTGGTGTGGGCTGTGATGTGATCTCTGCATGGCCCCTTGGCTCTTGTGTCCATGTGTTTCTGGAGCTGGCCAAGCAGCAGAGAGCTCTGCCAAGGCCAGTGAACTCCAGGGTTCTGTTCTTTCAGGTGTTGCTGTGTTTGCCTGGAAAGGGGAGTCGGAGGATGATTTCTGGTGGTGCATTGACCGCTGTGTTAACGTCGATGGCTGGCAGGCCAACATGGTGAGGAGCCTTCTCCAGCCTTTCCTCTTCCTCTGCTGAGTGCTCGTGGGGGTCCCCACCCTTCCACCCTGGGGCTGTTCTGGGAGCYTGCTGGCCTTGCAAGGGCCTCTGGTCCCTGTTAAAGGGGGGCTCCTGGAGAGTGGCAGCTGGAGATGGGTTGGGAAAGGCCATGGGAATGGCAGGAGCTGCAGAGATGATGTCCTGAGTTGACGCATCCCAATGGCAAAGGACCAGCTCCTGGTGGAGCTGCCATGAGCCAAGAAATGGGACCTCTTTGCCCCTACAGGAGCTGCCCCAGCYGCTCCTCTCTCAGCACAGATCCCATCCACCTTCTCTCCCAAAGCTGGGATCATAGTGGGGACCTTTCCCCTGCCAAAGCTGGTGTCCCCCCTTGGTGCATGGTCTGTGGTCACCAGTGATGTGTCTGTGGGCTGTGCCACCTCCCACAACCTCTCCTCTCCCGTTAGCTTTCAGGGCATGAATGTTGTGGCATCCTGAGCTCAGCCTAGTTAGTGCTGCCTGTGGTCACTTTTCCAGGCTGCAGAGCAATAGCAGAGGCAGAAAATCCTGTTAGATCCAGCAGCTCCACACAGGGGTAAGGAATCTTGGTGTTTTGGAGGAGCCCAGGAGTCCTGGTCCCCAGGTCTCCCCCTGAACAGCCCTCCAGCAGTGCCTGAAGATGCTTCTCCAAATCCTTTTCCCCTTCCTGTCCGCAGCCAGTGCATTTCCCAGTGAGAGGCCTGACTGTCCCTGTTCTTCCTTGCCTGTTTTCTAGATCCTGGATGACGGTGGCGATCTGACCCATTGGGTTTATAAGAAATACCCCAGCGTGTTCAAGAAGATCCGGGGGATTGTGGAGGAGAGCGTGACCGGTGTGCACAGGTGGGAGCTTTGGGAAAGCGGATCCAGAGATCTCAGGGAGTTGCTGCTGCCTGCTCTGACCTGCCWCTGTCCTCTCCCAGGCTGTACCAGCTCTCCAAGGCTGGGAAGCTCTGTGTCCCAGCCATGAACGTGAATGACTCAGTCACCAAGCAGAAGTTTGATAACCTATATTGCTGCCGGGAATCCATCCTGGATGGGTGAGTCCAGCCCTTTTCTTGACTGGTGCTTCCACGCGAGTGGGTTTGGCTCTGGCTGCTCCGAAGCAGAGATCAGGTTCTGCTGCTTTGACCTGGCTTTGGGCTTGACTGATCCCAACACAGGTCTCTCTCTGTCCCCTAGCCTGAAGAGGACCACGGATGTGATGTTTGGAGGGAAGCAAGTGGTGGTTTGTGGTTATGGGGAGGTGAGTTCCATGAGCTGTGCTGGCCTCCCCCGAGCTCAGCACTCTGCACTTCCCTGTGCAAAGGCCACTCGCCCTTGCTATAAGGAGTAGATCCAGCCTGGTGAGCGGTAACCAGGAAAATCTTGCTGGAATCTACTRGGAGCATGGAGATCAAGGATTAGATTTCCCAGTTTACTGCTGWTTAACTGGTCTGAACAGCCAACAGTTGCTGGGAACACTGGCCTGAATTACAACTACCCATGGGTACTGCCATCTGCTGTCCCTGGCCCGGGTTCAGCTCCAGCCTGGCTGGCACTGAGCAGGGCAGGCGGCTTCTCGCTGGGAATAATGCTCTGGCAGAGGCGAATTGTATAATGAGCTTGTAACTGATTCTACCCTGGAGGAGCTGGGAGCTGCCACCTTCCCTCCATCTGTGCCCGTCCCTCTGGGTGTTTATYTTCCTGTGCTGTGCAGGTCCTGGCAGGAGCTGCAAAGGCTCTTCCCAGCAGGATCTAGCTCCCTAATTTATTTAGGCACCAGTGGACCCAGCTTTGCTCAACCAGGAGACTGTGCTGGCTCTCGCCCAGGGCTCTGCGCTGGTGCCTGCTTCTCCAGCCAGGAGCTGTGCTGGGCGTTGTTGTCTCCAGGGCCCGTCCTGAACTTTATTGGACTTCTTCAAAACAGGAGGGTCACAGAATCATAGAATCCCAGACTTCCAACCCATATTTGGGTTGGAAGGGAACTTGAAGTTCATCCAGTTCCAGCCCTTGCCATAGCTCCCAAGCCCCGTCCAAYCTGGACATGGACACTTCCAGGGATGGGGGAGCCACAGCTTTTCTGAGAATTCTATTCCCGTGCCTCCCCACCTTCACAGGGAAGAATTCCTTCCCAATATCCCATCTAACAGTGCCCTCTGGGAATGGCAGTGGGAAGCCATTCCCCCTTGTCCTGTCATTCCATGCCTTGTCCAGAGTTCCTCTCCAGCTCTCCTGGAGCCCCTTTAGGCACTGGAAGGGGCTCTAAGGTCTCCCTGGAGCCTGCYGTCCTCCAGGCTGAGCACCCTCAACTCTCCCAGCCTGTTCACCTTGAATGGTTTCCCCTTTGGATGTGGGTTGGAGTCCCAGTTTGCTCTGCCTGGGTATGTTCAGTAGACCYGAGGTCCAAGCTGGGTAACAAATGAGGTTCTCTCTGGAGACGTTTTTAGTTCAGCACCTTGTTGGTCAGAAAACGGGGYTGAGCTCAGCCAGGTGTTGGTGTGGGTTGGTGGGGAGAGCTGGACTTTGCTTTAATTTTCCACTGAGGTGAGGGAGCTAGTCCGAGATGCTGTTGCAGGCACCCTGTGCTCCCTGTGCTGATGTGGGCAGCATGGGATGGAGGATCTGCCCCTGAGGAGTGCAGGACAGCTCTGAAATCCTTTACCTTAAAGGGAGTAGTGTTTGCTTCTCCAAGCTGCCTTTAATTTTTGCTTGGAGAAAGGCTCCTGCAGTGAATGGGCTGTGCAAGCTGTGAGAGCGTTGGRTCGGGAAAGCTCCTGGCCTTGGACACTTCCAGGAATGGGACAGCCACAGCTGCTCTGGRCAATCTGTGCCAGGACCTCACTACCCTTACARGGGAGAAYTCCTTCCCAATATCCCATCCAACCCTGCCCTCTGGCAGTGGTGTGCTGGTGGCCTTGGGCGAGGAGCTGGCCTTGTGGCAGTTGTGCCACTCACCAGGTACATCCTGAGCTGCTYCTGCCATTGGCAAGTAGCTGGGGTGAGGATCTTGCAGCCTGGCATGGGCTTGGGCTGTTTAGGGAATGGAYTGTAGCACAAGTATGTCTGTGTCCCGCCTCACTGAGATCCTTTTGCCTCGGCAGGTTGGGAAGGGATGCTGTGCTGCCCTGAAAGCCCTGGGAGCCATCGTGTACGTCACAGAGATCGACCCCATCTGTGCCCTCCAAGCCTGGTAAGGTGTTCCCATCTACATGGGTTACATGGGTTATCTCTGCTGCCTGTCCTCTTCCAAGCCCTGCCACAGGCTGGAGTGGAGCCAGGGGGATCTGTGGCTCATTTTGGAGAACATGCACCTTGTTGGGGTGTGATGGGGAAGGGCTGGGGCAGAACAGGGATGGGGTACTGGGCAGARCGTGTTTCATTGGCTGGTTTGGGGAGGCTGCTCAAGCCTCTGCTCCGCACATTCCTGGCTCCTCTGACATTTCCAAGAGTGGGTTGRACACCTCTGTTGCACAGTCCTCTCTTGTGCCACTGGTGTTCATGGAGGGGTAGAGTAGAGCCTGGGCTGCTGCCCGAGCAGTTGTGAGCTGCTGAGATCCCTCATGGCCTGGGTTGGAGAAGGAACAAGCTTCTCCTCCTCATGGTGGTCCCTCTCCCCCTTATTTTGCCAGCATGGATGGATTTCGGGTGGTGAAGCTGAGCGAAGTAATCCGTCAGGTGGATGTCGTCATCACCTGCACAGGTAGGGACAGAGGAGGTCGGAGCAGGCTGAGGAGCATCATTCCCAAGTGGGGTCTCGAGGGAGCTGGGAATGCAGGGCTCTTCACTGCTGTGGGCTCCTAATTTTCTACAATAGCTGGACTCTGCCAGGAGTTTTTCCCCYGATTTGCTGTTTGACCACAGTTCTGGAGCAGAGGGACATCTCAGCCATGTGTTTTCTGCATATTTTGGGATCTCCTAGAGCCTGGTTAATTCATGGGAGCAAAGATGAAAGATTTGGGCCCTGAAACAGTCTCCCCAGGGAATGGTCACAGTCCCAATCGTGCCGTAGCTCAAGGAGTGATTGGACAATGCTCTCAGGCACAGGGTGGAATTGTTGGGAATGTCCTGTGCAGGACCAGGAGTTGGACTTGGTGACCCTTGTGGATCCCTTCCAGCTCAGGATATTCCACAACACTTGTGTCAGGTGTTCTCTGCTCTCACTGCCAGAAGGGCTCATGTCCCAGTGAAAATTCATCTGATGTTGCCTCAAGCTGAGCTCCTCTGACTCGAGTTCACGGAAGGAGAAAGCAGACGGTTTATGCTCCCACTGCTCTGCCATCAACTGTGCCCTCTGTGCCTGCAGGGAACAAGAACGTGGTGACCAGGGAGCACCTGGATCGGATGAAGAACAGCTGCATCGTGTGCAACATGGGCCACTCCAACACCGAGATCGACGTGGTGAGTGCCGGCCCTGCGGCCGTGCCCACCCACCAGCCCCTGCTGTGACTCCAGCCTSTTCCTCCTCCTCTTCCAGACCAGCCTGCGGACGCCGGAGCTGACCTGGGAGCGGGTGCGCTCCCAAGTGGACCATGTCATCTGGCCGGATGGGAAGCGGGTGGTGCTGCTGGCCGAGGTGTGTTGAGAGCTAGGCCATGATGCTTTGGACTTCCGTTGGGAAATCACAGATTTAGCCAGGTGGAAAAGTGATGGAAGGAGCTTCTAAGCTCCAAAAAGGGTTTTTGATTTATTTTATTTATTTTTTATTTCCTTTTCTTGAGAGGGGGGTGTGTCATGTCCCACATGTGACCACAGAGGTGCCATCTGGCTCTGTTCTTGGAGCTGGGATTCATCCCACTCAGCCAAACCCCMTCTGTGCAGGGTTTCCCAGGTGTTGGGTGGCTCCCCTTCCCCTGGGAGCTGTTCTGGCAGGAGGAGAGGCTGGCTTTTCTAGGGACCACAASATTCCCCTGCCTCAAAGTGAAGGGTTAAGATGGAAACTGGAGCAGAGTTGGAATGCTCTGGTCACCATGCTCTGGTTCCCTGTTTCCTAGGGAGGGGGTGGAGGCGAATCCCATCTGGAAACTCAATTTGGTTTGCATTTGGGAGCATGGCCAGCTCTGTGCTCACTCCTGCTTTCTCCCAGGGCCGTCTGCTCAACCTGAGCTGCTCCACGGTTCCCACCTTCGTTCTCTCCATCACAGCTACCACGCAGGTCTGTACACGGGTGGAGGATGCTCTGGGTGGGGCCCTGCACAAGCCTCGGGGTGGGGATGGTTKGGAAGGAGCTGGGAACCTGCTGGGATTGGTCCTTGGGATGGCACCGGTGCCAGAAATACCATTTTGTCTGGGCTGGAGTTATTGCTGGCATGGACTCGGTGTTTTGGGTACAGTGGTTTCATGGCACAGATCCTGCTGGGCTGGAAGACAGGTTTAAGCTCCCCCCAGACAGGTTTAAGCTCCCYCCAGACAGGTTTGAGCCCCCCTAGCATGGGTTTAACCTTCCCCAGCACAGATTTAAGCCCCTCTAGTAGAGATTTAAACTCCCCCAACATGGGTTTAAGCCCACCTAGCACAGGTTTGAGCTTACCTTAAAGCAAGGCTTTGTTTGGGCTGGGAACATGGAGGGGACTGGTGGCACTGGGAGCATGGAGAGGGATTGATGGGTCTGGGAACACAGAAGGGACTGGTGGGTCTGGCACTCGTGGGGAGTAGTTTCCTGTCAATCCAAACAGGGGACAGGGAACAGGCCTTTGTTTTGGACTTGGCTCTCAGCAGTGGGAGCCAGCACYCAGGGATTGCAGTTTTCATTTCTCCTGAAGGAATGACCTTGGTTTTTGGACGCTGCCAGTTTCTGAGGAGCAATCCCTCCTTTCCCGTGTTCCTGTGTGGTTTAAGAGGAGCACAGCTGCTAACCCTAAACCATCCTCATGTTTTTCCCTGGGGTGTTGAGCCCCAGGAGCTGCAAACAAGCTGGGTGACATCTCATCCCTCCCTCCAGTGGGATTATGAACACCCAGAGAGGGACATGTCCATGGTGGGAGCCTTTCCCTCAAGGCGTGTTGGAAATGGTTGTGCTGTCCCTCCAAATCCTTCTCTGCCTCTGTGAGCTTTGTRCTGCCCAGGTCGGTGGCCATTCCTGACTGTTCTTGGTTATCCCTGTGCTCTCCACAGGCTCTGGCTCTAATTGAGCTCTACAACGCTCCCGAGGGCCGGTACAAGCAGGACGTTTACCTGCTGCCGAAGAAGATGGGTGAGTGAAGGAACTGACTTTTCCCGTGAGGATCTGTGTGCCAGCAGTGTCAGCAGAACTTAAACCTGGGCTGGGAAACACTTCCCWAGGGACAGTGAGTTCAGGGAAGCCACTAGAGGCAGTGACCTTAAAATACGTGGGGGTTATTTGATTTATTTTCTGTAGTGCTCTGCAGTGTGGGAGGCATCCTGTATCTTGCAGCCTCCCTTCTCGGGGATTTTTCCATGCCCTCCTTTTGCCTTTGGGGTCACATCCAGCCCAGGCTTGGGCTCAGTTCTGCCCAAGGCTTTGGGTGATGGTGAATCTAGGGTTCAGACCCAGCCAGACCTTCCAATCATCACCATCTCAGTGGGTGCTGAGGAATGGGGACTCCCTGATCGCCTTTTTCCTGTTCCTGTTCCCAGATGAGTACGTGGCCAGTCTGCACCTGCCGTCGTTCGACGCCCACCTGACGGAGCTGACGGACGACCAGGCCAAATACCTGGGACTCAACAAAAACGGGCCTTTCAAACCCAACTACTACAGGTGAGAGCTGCAGGGGCAGGAGCTCCCAATTCCCCACCCAAATTGCTATCCATTTGGAGTTCTGCCTCCAGCTCCRGGGTGTCCACCAGCAGAAGGATGTGGAGCTGCTGGAGCGTGTCCAAAGGAGGCCAAGGAGAGGTTTTGAGGGGTGGAGGCCCTCTGGGAGAGATGGGAGTGCTCAGTCTGGAGAAGAGAAGGCTCCCAGGAGAGCTCAGAGCCCCTTCCAGGGCTTAAAGGGGCTCCTGGAGAGCTGGAGAGGGACTGGGGACAAGGGATGAAGGGACAGGACACAGGGAATGGCTTCCCACTGCCAGARGGGCATGGTTTGATGGGATATTGGGAAGGAATTGTTCCCTGTGAGGGTGGGGARGCCCTGGCACAGGGTGCCCAGAGCAGCTGTGGCTGCCCCTGGATCCCTGGCAGTGTCCAAGGTCAGGCTGGRYRGGGCTTGGAGCACCCTGGGACAGTTCAAGGTGTCCCTGCCCTGGAATGAGATGGGGTTCAAGGTCYCTTCCAMCCCAATGGAATCCCCTGCCTGGGGGATCCCCTTGCCCTGACACAGCAGCAGCTCCCGTGTCCCTCACTGTCCCTTCCTTCTCTCCTAGATACTGACGGGACCATACCCATGAAGGACCAGACCACACAAGGCAACATTCGAGAGATTATTTTTAAAAACAATTTTTATTTTGGTTTACCTTTTTTTTTTTTTTTTTTTTTTTTTTTTTTTTTTTTTTTTTTTTTTTTTTTTTTTTTTTTTTTTTTTTTTTTTTTTTCTACCACCAGAACCTGTTTTTACATTTTATCTGTGATTTTAAGGTCAGGTTTTCTTTTCTCCCCCTTTTCCATGATCAAATCCTTGTCTGATCTTGCCAGACAACCTGGAATTTGCTTCTTGCTCTCATGTGGCTGAAGCTGCTGATTCCCAGCTCTGGCTCCAGGAGGGGTTTTCCCTTTCCTGCTGTGCCCAGGGCACTTCATTCCTTCAGCAATGGTTTATTTTTGGCTTTTATTTTGTATTCTTTCCCACCTTTCCAGCCCACGTTGGTCTCAGCCGGGCTCCCTGCGGATCCGGAGATGCTCTTCTACCTTATCTTCTATTTCTTTGTGTGGATTATCTGCAACTTCTRAATTGCCTTAAAGAGCCCAGTTTTAGCTGCTAGATCCCTGCTCCGGGCGCTTCCTGGGAGCAGAGTGGGGCCTGCAGGACACGTGGCCAAGGGGGTGACAGTGCCCAAACCCAGCCCAGGTCCCTGTGCTGAGGTGGCCCAGGCTTGGTGGCCACTGGCCTGGGTTTGCTGGCCACCTGGGTCCAGGGGAGTTCAGTGTTTCAGGGTGCTAATCTGAATCCGGATGGGGGTCGCTTCCCAGCATTATCCTCATCTCTCCTAGGTTTTTTTTTTTTTATTTTTTTTTTCTTTTAGCCAAACTGCACCTTAATTGAGTTCTAAACTTTTTTTTTTTTCCGTTCGTTTGTTTTTTTCTTCCTGTTTTCCTTTTTGATCCTTACCGAGATGTTTTAGAGGGCGGGGATGTTTTTAAGAGGAAGCACYGGGGGCATTCCCATCTCCCACTGGGAAGCGCCGGGTGGTGTCGAGGGTGTCTGGGGTGGGTTTTGGGGGTGTTCCACTGTTTTTTTTTTTTTTGAGCTGGATGCAGAGATGAGCCTTCCCCCTACCCCAGCCTGGCCCCTCTGCTCCCTGTCGCTGTTTTCCTCACCCTCTCCTGGTGTGTCCCAGCTGCTCCCATCACCTCCTCCATCCCCTCCCTGTTGCCATTTCTCTTTCCCAGCTTGTCCTGGGGTGTGGGAATCTCCTTCCAACCCACTGAAGTTCCTTTTGGCTTTTTTTATCCTCCCCACATCTCCTCTTCCTTCCTTTTCCCAAGGGAGGGAAGGAGCTGCTGGTACCTCCCAGATCATGGAGCTGCTCCTGCCCCGCTTTGGAGGGGTCCACCCCAATTCTGGGGAATTTGCAGGTCTGGGGGTGCAAAGCTCCTTGGGGGGCCAGGAGATGGAGAGGTGCTGGTGGCTGAGATCATCCCCCTGTCATGCCCTCCTCCATGTCCTCTGACTGTTCCTCTTTCCCACCCTGCCTGGTCTCCTCCTGGACGGTCGCTCCGCAGATTTTGGGGATCACCTGCCTCGCTCCCCCACAGATCCTGGCGATCACCTGGGTCCCCTCCACCATCCCCCAAACCTCACTGGGGCCGGCTTAGTGAGCTGGGATGGGCGTTTGTGGGAAGTGATTGGGAGCATCCCCCCTTCCCTGTGAGCCCCCCACCCGGGGGTCCCRGCACCCCCTTCCCACCCATTCCGGGTGGGATCTCGGCGCAAGGGCTCCGTGTCTGGACAAGCCATGTCGGGGGAGCCTGGGGGTGATGGCGGCGGCGGCAGCATCGGGCCGGGAGGGAGAGGTTTATTTTGTATATGAATGATTTTTAATGAATGCAATATTAATCCTTGCAGATGAGCAATAAATCATTAAAGTCTAATTAAACTATTAGCAAAAATGAAGCGCTTTTGGTTGTGGGCGGTTTATTTGGTTGCTTGGGGGACCTTGAGTTGTGTCCGAGCCCAAGGGCAGGGTTGGAATTTCCCTTTGGCCACCTTGGGGTGGGGATTGGATCCCACCAGAATTTCCTGAGTATTGCCAGAACTCGGGATTTTGGGGCCTAACCCTCTTTTGAGCCCAACGGGGCCCCTTAATTTGGGGTTTAAACCCTGCTGGGTTTCTCTGTTGGGGTCTAACTCCCCTCTGATCCCCACCAGGCACACCCCTTGGGGGTCTGAGCCCCACCAGCCACTTCACGGGAGGGAGGATTCCTTTGTTCCGGACCCTTCAATTTGGGATCTGCCTGTTCCTGCCACTCCCAACATGGCGGCGTCCAGCGCTCGGGCCCCGCCCCGRTGCGAGTGAGGGCGGAAGTGCCATACCCAGCATGGCCGCGCCCAGGGCCGCGCCGCACCCAAGATGGCGGCGCGGGGGCGGAGCCCGCCGCCCGGCCGTGTGTCGCGCCGTCCGTGGCCGCCGGGGGCGGGCAGCGCCGGGCCGTGACGCGGCCGCCGCGGCGGAGCGGCGGGAGTGGCGGGCGGAGCTGCATCGCACCCACCGGCGACACCGGAGCTCCCCGAGGTGCCACTCCCAACATGGCGGCGGCGCTGCCCCGGCTCTCCCTGCCGCTCCCGCGAGAGGAGGGGGTGAGTCCTCGCGAGAGCTCGGAGCGGCGGAGCGGCCGACATGGAGCCGAGCGGCGGCCCCGGGCCGGGCCCCGTCCCGGTCCCGGGGAACAACAAGGGCCGCGGTGGGGCGGCCGCGCCCGGAAGGGGCCGCGACTTGGCTCGGCCGCCGCGCAAGGACTCCGAGGTCAGCGCCGCCGCCGCCGGGAGCGGGGCGGCCTTCCCGGGCGGGGCGGGCCGCGCCGGGCCTCGTCCGGGGCCTGCCCAGGGGTGCCGATGCCCAGGGGCGGTGCTGGTGTCCGGCCGGTGCCCGGTGGTGCCGGTGCCCGGGGGTCCCGGTGTCCAGGGGTACCAGTGCCCGTAGTGTCGGTGCCCTGCGGTGCCCGGCGGTGTCCGGCTCTTTCAGCCCTGCTTGGGCACCGCTTTACCCGGGACCAGCCCGAGCCAGCCGGTCCCTTGGCCCCGATGCTCCAGTACTGGTCCCAAGGCCGGTCCTGGTCCGGCCCCTCCCGCGGTACAGGTTCCCTGGCTCAGTGGCCCCGGCCCTCTCTGCCCGGCCCACTCGGAACCGGGTCTCGGTCGGTGCCGGTTTCCCGTTCATCCATCCCTTCCCCAGGTCCAGGTCGGTGTGACCGGGCTGGGGTGCGAGGGTGGCTCGGCCGCCCGGTCTCAAACGGGGGTGACATGGGCGGTCCGGGGGTCTCACAGCCCGTCCGGGGCTTTTCCCGGTGTTACCGGTCGGTACCAGCCCAGGGTGGGGTGTCAGGTCCCGCTCGGACCGGGGATGGATCCAGCAAGAGGTGACCGGGCCCCCCAAGGACACCCCGCGGTCCTGGGGTCACCCTGAGTCTTGGGGTCAGGAAGGTTGTGTAGTGCTGAGTTGTTCTGGAATTTTTCAAAAAGTGTTTAATTCCTGGGATAGCCCCAGAACCATTCGCTCTCACGGGTTCCTCAGAAAGAGCTTGGAATGACAGGGGGGGGATGTGAGGGGGAATCTAGGAGAGCCTGAGGTACTGGGGGTGCTCCCAGCAGAGCAGAGCCAGCACAAGGCAGGGGTTGGAACTGCCCCTCCTGGAATTCAGGATGGTTCTGATGTGGATCTGCCCCTCTGTTGGCAGTGAGAGCCCCAAAGTTTGGGATGGTTCTGCTGTGGATCTGCACCTCCTTCAGGGGTGGGTACCCCAAAATTCGGGTTTGATTCTGGGTTTGCCCCTGTTTCAGGAGTGTGTGCCCCAAAATTTGGGATGGTTCTGCTGTGTCTCTGCTCCTCGCTCAGGGGTGGGTGTTCTGAGAGGGTTCTGAGAGGGTGTAGGTCTGTCCTGTGCTCAGGAGTGGGTATCCCAAATTCTGCTCAAGGTCTACCCCTTACTCAGGACTGGGAGTCCCATAATTGAGGAGAATTCTGCTCAAGGTCTGCTCCTCACTCAGGAGTGGGAGTCCTGTAATTCAGGAGAATTCTGCTAAGGGTCTGCCCCTCGTTCAGAGTGGGTGTTCTGAAATTTGGGATGATTCTGGTATGGACCTGCTCCTCTCAGGAGTGGAAGCTCCAAAATTTGGAGAGTTCTGGTGTGGATCTGCCCCTCACTCMGGAGTGGGAGTCCCACAAATCAGGAAAATTCTGCCTCTCATTCAGGAGTTGGTGGCCCGAAATTTGGGATGGGTCTGGTATGGGTCTGCCCCTCTCCCAGCATTGGGTGCCCCCAGAATTCAGGAGACTTTCATATGTCTGCCCCTCACTCAGGAGTGGATGCCCAAAAATTCATGAGGATTCTGTTTGGGGTCCTCCCCATGCTGAGGAGTGGGAGCCTCCTAATTCAGGAGATTTCTGGTGTGGATTTGCCCTGTGCTCAGGATCCCGAAATTTTGAGGGTCTTGCTGTGCATCTGCCCCACTGTGAGTCCGTGTTCGTCACTTCCGTAAAGGAAGCTGATATKTTGTGCTCTAAAGCTTCTCCTGGATATTTTTCCAGCCTCTCCAAAGCTGTTTGGAGTTGTTTCATCCTCACTAACCCCAGCTGCTGGGATGGCACAGGGGAATGGCCCGAATGTTGCCAGTTTTGTGTGAAATGGGTGAGCTCTGAGAGCTYTCTGATCTCCCAGAACCCTCTCCCTGGCTCCGGCCATGTTTGTTGTGCTCTGGGGGTGTTTTCGGGGTGCTGCAGTGGCTCCATGCGGCACAGCTGATGGAGACGCAGGAGGAGGGTTGGAGTTGCCTCGGTAACGTTTGTGCTGCAGGGATGTTTTTGGTCTCTAAACCAGGAAAACCAGCCCTGGATTTGCAGGAGGATGAGGTGAATTCTGAGTGTTTTCAGGGATTTCGGTTTTCCTGAAATATGCCGTAATGGAGCTGATCTTTTCCCTGTGTTTTCAGGGCTATTCGGAGTCGCCAGACCTGGAATTTGAATATGCAGACACGGATAAATGGGCAGCAGAGCTGTCAGGTAAGGAATTCTTCCTTGATGGCTCAATTAATCAGCTGTGATATCCTCTCCTGGTAGAATTAAAGGAACTCTGTCAGTTCCAATATCACTCTGTTATTATATTTAAATGCCTTACTGATSTTAAAAGGGATGGGATATGTGTAATGAATATTTTTGGTCTTACACTGTGTGGGGTTTTTTTCATTTTGATATGTTGGCTAAAGCCACACTTCCCGGGGCTGAGTTGCAGCTCAGTGCAATGTTTTGGAGTTTCTCCTGTTTTGGCAGAGCTGTACAGCTACACGGAGGGGCCAGAGTTCCTGCTCAACCGAAAATGCTTTGAGGAGGACTTCAGGATCCACAGTAAGAGCCTTTTTCTGGATTCCTTTCCCCCTGGGGAGGGACAGGGGTTTCCCTTCCTGGAGAAGAGGAGTCTGATGCCAGAGCTCACCAGGGTCTGCAGCTCCTCCTGAGGGGCAGCTCCAATCTCTGCTCCTTGTGAGCAGGAACACGACCCGAGGGAGCAACTTGAACTGTACCAGGGGAGGGTTAGGTTGGAGATAAGGGAAAGGTTCTTTCCCCCAGAGGGTGCTGGGCACTGCCCAGGCTCCCCAGGGAATGGGCACGACCCCAAGGCTGCCAGAGCTCCAGGGGCATTTGGACAGCGCTCTCAGGGACCCAGTGAGATTTTGGGGTGTCCTGTGCAGGGCCAGGAGTTGATGATTCTCGAATATCCTGCTCAGGATATTGCATGATTCCATGACTGATGTAGTCATCTGCCAGGATGGCAGGAGACATCCCTGGGGCTCCTTCCTCCGGGGATCACCGTGTCCCCTGTGCTTGTCGTGCTGAGTCCCTGTGAGCGTGGCCGCAGTGAGGCCGTGCCCAAGCCCCGCCTGTTTGGTTTGCAGTGCGGGACAAGAAGTGGCCGGAGCTGGAGCGGACGCAGCACCGCACCCACGCCATGCGGCTCCTGGACGGGCTGGAGGTCACCGCGCGCGAGAAGAGGCTCCGCGTGGCCCGAGCCATCCTCTACGTGGCCCAAGGTGACATCATCCTCTGCCCCTTGTTTGCCCCAGTGCTAAGGCTGTTAAATGGCTCAGATTTTAATATAATTTATATATATGTAAATATATATTATATATAGTAGAATATAATTATACTGTTAGATATGYGATACAGTTGTATGTTTTATTTTTATAYGTTATAMTATATATAAKRTATACTTAAATATTTAATGTAGAACTCCTTTATGTACATTAAGTTTTTATAGATGTATTTTTRTATCTTATATGTATTTATAGTTCTTAAATATATTTAACACGTGACATACAATATATAATATGTATATAAAATGTAATATATAATCTATAATATAATATACATGATACATTACATCGCATATACATTATGCCATATATATTATATATGGCATATAGTATATAATATATGATGTATAATATATAGTTTCATGTTATATATCATTTAATATATATTATATTATGTAATATATTCATTGTAGATTGTTATGTAGTATGCATGTTGTAATGATACATATTTTAAGTATATATTACGTATATCTTATATAGATAATATATAAGATAYAGATAAGATATACTATATTACACATAGTATACATATTATAACTATGTATTTTATATATGTATTAWATATTATATCTRTTATATATAATACATCRTACAATAAAATCTACAATACACAATATRTATCATATACTGTACATTATATAGTGCATATATTACATTTTCTATGTTATATGTAATATATATAGTATGTTTTATGCAGTATATGTATTGTATATCAAATGCTATATATTCTATGTTATATACGTTATATATAGTCTGTATTGTATATTATATACAATATGTTATATATTGTATGTAATATATCAATATATAATATAATGAATATTTATCATTAGGGTTATACAATAATTACTAATTATTTTCTTACATAATATTTAGAATAATTTTAAATCCTTGTGGATTTCATTCCACCTGGAACGTCTGCAATGAAGCTGAATCCCATGGTACCAGATAGYTGAGAGCAGTTTGGCCCAAAATTTGTCTGATTTCTCCATGTTATTCCAGTTCTTCCAGACCTGAAATGTGTTACCCAAAGAGGGCAGTTCCACCCTCTGCATCCCAGGTTTTTGCTCAGTTTTCAGGGTGTGTTTTCCATTCCCCCTATGAGGTGCTGTGGGGGTGTCARGATCCCCATGGAGGTGGGATCAGCAGAGTCTCCTTGCAGGCACCTTCGGGGAGTGCAGCTCCGAGGCCGAGGTCCAGGCTTGGATGAGGTACAACATCTTCCTCCTGCTGGAAGTGGGAACGTTCAACGCCTTGGTGGAGCTGCTGAACATGGAGATCGAGTGAGTACTGCGGGAAAACACTTCAGGAACGGCTCTGGAGCTCCTTGGCAGTTTTTCTGGTTTATGGCACAAACGTTTATGGCGCAAAAATTTATCTGTCTATCCCTAATCTGACTCCTGCACTCACCAGAGTGACTCCCATTTTCCTGAGTGGACATGTAATGTAGGGTTATACCTGATTTCTCCTGAAATTCATGATGAATCAGGAAAGGGTCTGCTCCTCCTGCGGCTGCACTGGGAGAAGGGAATTCATGGCAGCAGTGTCTGTCCCAGGGTTTGGTGCTGGAATATGGGATGCCCGTGACAGAGTTTGAATTCCCCCAAATTTCCTCTGAGCTGTTCTTCCTCCGCAGCAACAGCGCAGCCTGTTCCAGTGCCGTGAGGAAACCGGCCATTTCCCTGGCTGACAGCACCGACCTCAGGTATGGAGTGGCCATGGGGGGACACAGAGGGGCCAAGGCTTTCTGGGAGCTTTGGGAAGCTGAGACAGGCACTGGCAGGGGCCTCAGAGCTGTCCCAGCTCTGAGAGCATCCACAGATGTCCMTCGTGCTCAGCCTGCACAGCAGGAATGGGACAGATTGGGCATATGAAAGCAGTAAAACTTGGAAAAGCAGATTTTTTTCCTGTTTGGAGTTGCAGAGACTTTTCCCCCCAGTGCCTGTGTGCTGGTGTGGAGCAGACACACGGATTCTGGATGTGGTCTGGGTTAATCCAGCCTCTCCCCAAGGCCTGGGTGCTCACAGTGCTTCCATAACTTGTCCCAGTCTCYGGGATTCAGCTGGCCTGGTTTTTGCAGGGTGCTGCTGAACATCATGTACCTGATCGTGGAGACTGTGCGCCAGGAGGCCGAGGGAGACAAGCCTGAGTGGAAGAGCATGAGACAAACCTTCCGAGCAGAGCTGGGTGAGGATCAGGAGCCAGGGTAGAGCTGCCAGGGCTGGAGAGAGTGACATGGGATCAGGCTCTAGGGCTCGGGTAATAGGGGCTGGCAGCACTGGGTTGGTTTCTGCTCGACCTGTGGAGCAAAGGGAAGTGAGCAGAAGAAGACATCCAGCCTTTGTTGCTGCTGGATGCTCTCGCCCTGCGAGAAAAAATAGAATATTTGGGCTGTTGTTTCAACACAGAGATAAGAAATTTTGRAGTTTATGAGGTCTTGGAAAGGGAGAGGGGGTTGTCGGGTGAGGTGAGGATCTTGGTGCTGCTGGTGACTGGGGAGAGACCAGGGATGAGGAGTTCCTGGCTCATGGTCAGGTGCTCATGCTGTGTGCTTCCAGGAGCCCCCCTGTACAACAACGAGCCCTTCTCTGTCATGCTCTTTGGGATGGTGACCAAATTCTGCAGTGGCCATGCCCCACACTTCCCCATGAAGAAGGTGYTGCTTCTGCTCTGGAAGACAGTGCTGGTAAGGAGGGACCATGGGATGTGGAATGTGTGGTTTGGTATTTGGCAGATGAGGGAATTCTGCCCTCAGAGTTGGCTGTAATTGCTCCATTCTCTTGTTCTGGTGTTCAGTTTTCTTTTAAATCAAATTTCAGATTTTCCCCTGTAGGGAAGAATTGCATATTGGTGTCTGGAGCTCAATACTAAGGATAGACGCAAAGCAAGGTCCCTGGGGAAAGGAAAGCTGTGAACATTCCAGTTGTGGATGCCTGGACATCCTCCTGTCCCTTCTGCCTCTCAGTGACAAGGGGAGTACAGGACAGGCAGCTCCTGATTTAAACTCTGGGGAAGGATTTGGGCCCCTCAGGACAAGAGAGACTTTGAGGGGCTGGAGCGTGTC